GCCAGCTTTACGCCGAATTTGTTTTGAACTCTCAGCTTTTTGGGGTTCGTGTATAGGGTTTAGGGTTTAGGGTTTCGGGTTTAGGGTTTAGGGTTTAGGGCCGAAACAAAAACCCAGGTAAAGAGCATGCCTGTGCCGGTTGCGGCGCTTGTGTGGAGGTTCGGGTGAACTTAGAGAACCCCGATATTCTAGGTCCCTCAAGCAGGGGTTAGGGTTCTGAGTTGAACGGTATAGGAAAACCCAAAACCCTAAACCCTGAACCCATGTATTTGGTTAAGCTGTTTTTGCGATGCTGCTCTTGCTGACCCTGGCGGCCCTGGCGTGTTGTCCTAGCCTTACCTAAGCGCTGTCTAGGGTTTAGTGTTTAGGGTTTAGGGTTAAGGTTTCGGATTTAGGGTTTAGGATTTAGGTTTTGGGGTGACTCTAACATCTATAGACCCGAAACCCTGAAACCCAGATCAGCCCTGAGCCCTTTGAACCATCAACCTTGAACTTCAATCCGCCCGGACCCCAAAGGAATATTATAATGCATAAGAGACGTATAGTTAAGGCTACAGACCTGCCGAAACCCCATAGGCTCCAGATCAGGTAGCACTCTACAATTTTCATTTAATATCTCCTGTTGCTCAAACAGCCCCTGGGATACGGTACGTACCAAATTCCTTGATTCCCAATTATAAGAACTCGTAGTTTTCTGAAACTCATTTCTGCGCCATGGTTCTTCGAGTCTTGTCGGCTCGCCCTACACATTGAGGCGGGCACAATTCGGGGTCGGGTGCCGCGGAAGTGCCAGCATGTGGCCCTTGACCATCCATTGTCTTGCCGGCTCCACGTTTCAGCTCAACGTGGATGATGCGGAAACGGGGCGGAATGTGCGGAGACGCATCGCAGGAAGTGTTGGCCGGTCCGGAGCGTCAATCGTGCTGACTTCCGGTGGCCATGTCCTCGAGCTGCACCAGCCACTGCTGCAACAAACTCTGAACCAAGAGCTCACGTATGTGGTGCGGAAGTGTGGTGCAGGCTGCGCGGCACGCAGTATAAAGCGATCACTGGCAAAAACCGAATTGAATCAAGACACAGATGCCATGGACGTCGTTGTTGCCTTGACGTTCGGCAGTAGCTTCAACCAGAGCTTGGAAGGGGTGCAGCTTCCCAGCGGCCTACAGGCCCTGACCTTCGGCTATTTTTTCAACCAGAGCTTGGAAGGGGTCCAGCTTCCCCGCGGCCTACAGGCCCTGACCTTCGGCCATGATTTCAACCAGAGCTTGGAAGGGGTGCAATTTCCCAGCGGCTTACAGACCTTGACTTTCGGTGCAGACTTTAACCAGAGCCTGGAAGGGGTGCAGCTTCCCAGCGGCCTACACACCTTGACCTTTGGCCGTGATTTCAGCCAGAGCTTGGAAGGTGTGCAGCTTCCCAGCGGCCTACAGGCCCTGACCTTTGGCTATTTTTTCAACCAGAGCTTGGAAGGGGTGCAGCTTCCCAGCGGCCTCCAGGCCCTGACCTTCGGCCATGATTTCAACCAGAGCTTGGAAGGGGTGCAATTTCCCAGCGGCTTACGGACCTTGACTTTCGGTGCAGACTTTAACCAGAGCCTGGAAGCGGTGCAGCTTCCCAGCGGGCTGCAGACCTTGACCTTTGGCAATTCTTTCAACCAGAGCTTGGAAGGGGTGCAGCTTCCCAGTGGCGTACAGACCTTGACCTTCGGCAGTTCTTGCAAGCAGAGCTTGGAAGGGGTGCAATTACCCAGCGGCCTACAGACCGTGACCTTCGGCTATTCTTGCAACCAGCATCTTCCCAGCGGCCTACAGACCTTGACCTTCGGCAATTCTTTCAACCAGAGCTTGGAAGGGGTGCTGTTTCCCAGTGTGCTAAAGACCTTGACCTTTGGCAGTTCGTTCAACCAGAGCTTGGAAGGCGTGCAGCTTCCCGGCGGCCTACAAACCTTGACTTTCGGCATGTACTTCAACCAGAGCTTGGAAGGGTTGCAGCTTCCCAGCGGCTTACAGACCTTGACATTCGGCATGTGCTTCAACCAAAGCTTGGAAGGGGTGCAGCTTTCCAGCGGTCTGCAGACCTTGACCTTCGGCAGTTATTTCAACCAAAGCTTGGAAGCGGTGCAGCTTCCCAGTGGCCTACAGGCCTTGACCTTCGGTTATTGTTTCAAACAGAGCTTAGAAGAGGTGCAGCTTCCCAGCGGCCTACAGACCTTCACGTTCGGCGAGAATTCCAAAAAGAGCTTGGAAGGCGTGTACCTTCCCAGCAGCCTACAGACCTTGACCTTCAGCAATTCTTTCAACCAGATCTTGGAAGGGGTGCGGCTTCCCAGTGGCCTACAGACGCTGACCTTCGGCGGTTCTTTCAACCAGAGCTTGGAAGGGGTGCAGCTTCCCAGCAGCCTACAGACCTTGACCTTCGGCAGTTCTTTCAACCAGAGCCTGGAAGGGGTGCAGCTTCCCTGCGGCCTACAGACCTTGACCTTCGGCTACCGCTTCAACCAGAGCTTGGAAGGGGTGCAACTTCCCCGCAGCCTACAGACTTTGACCTTCGGCAATTATTTCAACCAGAGACTGGAAGGGGTGCTGTTTCCCAGTGGGCTAAAGACCTTGACCTTTGGCAGTTCGTTCAACCAAAGCTTGGAAGGCGTGCAGCTTCCCAGCGGACTACAGACCTTGACCTTCGGCCCTGATTTCAATGAGAGCTTGGAAGGGGTGCAGCTTCCCAGCGGCCTACAGACCTTGACCTTCGGCGAGAGCTTCAACCAGAGCTTGGAAGGGGTGCAGCTTCCCAGCGGCCTGCAGACCCTGACCTTCGGCCATGATTTCAACCAGAGCCTGGAAGGGGTGCAATTTCCCAGCGGCTTACGGACCTTGACTTTCGGTGCAGACTTTAACCAGAGCTTGGAAGGGGTCCAGCTTCCCGACTCCTTGCTACGCTTCTCCTCGCGCATTTTGCAGGTAGACGCCTGCTAACTCACAGGCTGATCCTGGACAAGGCACCTAACAAATGCTCGAATGCAGAAAGTCTCAAGCCGTCAGACTTCTGAGGGATTAGGTTTAGGGTTTAGGGTTTAGGGATGTGGGCTAGAAAAGGGGACTTTGGCGGCGCTCCTCTCCGCTGCAGTACACATGAACCCTAAACCCTAAACCCTAGACCCTAGACCCTAAACCCTAAAGGCACATTCGTCACGACACCTCGTGGATGCGTCTGAGAATTTCTCATCTAGGACTCAGAGTAGGCCATTATTCCCTTTTTGTTTAGGGTTTAGGGTTTAGGGTTTAGGGTTTAGGGTTTAGGGTTTAGGTTCCCTTGTAACCCCCTTTAAACCAAAAAGGGCACCCTTTTTATTCCTAGGCTACTCCCGCGTCTAGATATGGTTTGAGTTTAGAGTTTTTTGTGTGTATGGCGAGGTACCCACCGGGAGAGGCACACAATTTAGTACCTCGTACCACAACTAGGCGTCTCCAAGGAGCTCTTCGGGGATCAATGAACCCTAAACCCTAAACCCTAAACCCTAAACCTTAAACCCTCCGATGATTTCGTGCCTCGGGTAGCAGGTCTCGTCGGCAAAATGATTCTGCTTGCGTGTGCAGAGGTTGAAGGGAGTAGGCTTTGGGGTACGTTGAGGGCTTGGCGTTTAGGCCGTGGGTCTTAAGCAGTAGGTTTTGGCTTATGGGGCAGTGGAGTCTTGAAAATCCTGGGCCTGCACCCTAACCCTAAAACCCTAAACACTAAACCCTAAACCCTAAACCCCCAAACCCCTAAACCCTAAACCCGAAATGCCTCCTCCCTTCCCCCTCCCCCTCATAGAGGCCCTCAAGAGTCTGAGGCTCGTCGGCGTCCCCTGTGTCCTTGCCGCCTCTGTCCTGCAGTGCTGGGCTCGGAGAAATCCACCCTAAACCCTAAACCCTAAACCCTAAACCCTAAACCCTAAACCCTAAACCCTAAACCCTAAACCCTAAACCTGGGTCGGAATATTCATAGGACTCTACCTTGGATCCCTCTCGGGAATCTAAGTGTGTTTTTCGGAGTCCCTTAAGGGAACGTCTTAGGGGTGTATCCTTGCGGGTCCGAGTATGACTCCCTTGAAACATTCCTTACTTCATATCAGGAATTATGGGGTTTAGGGTTTAGGGTTTAGGGTTTAGGGTTTAGGGTTCATATTACTGTTCTTGGTGAGTGTATATAAGGTTCCTTTTTAATGTTGGTGAGTGTATATATTTGGTGTCCTTTTGGGGGGTACAAGAAATATATACCCTACTTCATATCAGGAATCCACAGTCAAGGCTTCCTGTATTGTTCAAGGGCAGCGTTTTTTTAAAGTGTTTTTGTGAGGTGGAAAGGTTTGGTTTTGGTGGTTTAGGGCTTTGACAGATACGCTTGGTGCCAAAAAGGTGTACTTAAGTGTTGCCTAAACCCTGAGCCCTAAATCCTGAGCCCCAAACCCCAAACCCGCAACCCTAAACCCTAAACCCTAAACCCGAAACCCTACGGAGCCCAGGTATGTCCGCTTTGCAAAGAAGCCCATGGCGCCACCATGCCACAGGCCAGAGGAAGATGTGGTTGTCAACTTGTTAGGTCCTTGGCATAGTTTAGGGCTTAGGGTTCATGCAGGGTTTAGGGTTTAGGGTTTAGGGTTTAGGATTTAGGGTTTAGGGTTTAGGGTTTAGGGGCTAGGGTAGTCCAGTGGTACCCTTTTCCCTTTTTTGTTTCAAGGTTCCTTTATCCAGTAAGCAACCCAGAAAGGGTGGGCTACTAGGTTTCTGCTTTCCCTCATTGGATTTACAGGGTCAGAATCGAGGGTCCTCAGAGCCATCCGAGTTGGAGTTTCATGAACGGAAGAAGTATATACTGTCAACTTGGAGCGTAGCTGTGTGAAGCCTGAATCGCCTGCTGGCGCTCCCATGGACGTGGCTTAGATCACACCTCCGCAGCTGGGTTCGAAGCTGTCAAAGCGTAACCTGCAGAGCGGTGCCAATGAGAATCGCTTTGCTGTGCGCATGGGCTTCCTTGCAAGTTGCCCCGAGCGCAGGGCAAACATTGCGGCGAGCATCACCCACAGGTGTCAATGAAGAATGTGCCTCGTGCAATGGATGTAATGCTTGTGACGATGGCGAGGATGAAACCAGCGTGGTGGCTTTAAAATGGGGATGGCCCAAGCCCACGCCAAGCCCCACGCCAAGCCCCACTCCAGGCCCCACTCCAGCACCTGCGCTGCCCACGCCAAATCCCACCCCAGAGCCTCAGCAGACCTGGGCTATACAGGCCAGTTCATGGCAGGAGGTTGCGGAAAGCATGCAGATACTGCACAGGTGATCAGCACCGTTGTCCTAGTTGTGCCTGATTTCGTCTTGAAACTATGACTGTTCTAGGATAAACCTTCAGCCCTGCTTGCATCAACATCCCCAGGGGTGTGGAGTGGGACAAGATTCAATGGGGTCCAGCGAATGAGGAGGGGGAGCGCTCGAACTTCGCCTTTGGCGGCGCCATGATCAACGGCCTCCTGTGCACCATGGCTTATGTGAATGGGCTCAGCGATGGCAACTTGGCCATGTGAGGAGATGTCTTACACTTTCTCTTTTTGTGGGGTCTTAAGAGGATCATGTTTGGGAATAACCCTAAACCCTAAACCCTAAACCCTAAACCCTAAACGCCCTAGGCAGTTCCAACACCGCGGACTTCCTCAAAGGCCTGGGCACCATTCTCGCCACCGCTGCCGTGGAAATCCCGGGCTTAGGCCCCATTCTGAGCGTGTCTAGGATGCCCAGTAGTCCCTAAGGGTCTAGGGCTTGGGGTCGAAGGTTTACTAGGTAGGTTTTCTATTTGCCATTTGCCCTTATTGGGTTTAAGAGGGTCATATTCAGGGATATATTTTTCAGAGGGTTTTAAAGGCAATCCTAGTTTAGGGTTAGGGTGTACACTCCTTAAAGGGGATACCTCTAGGGCCCAAGTATATACTACATAGGCATATGGGCCCTTAAGGAGTCTTTTTATTGGCTTTACATCCCATGCGTATGCTCCATGTTCTGCCCTAAACCTAAACCCGAAAACCGCCTAAACTCCAAACGCTAAACACGCGTACTGTCAAGCCAAGGTCGTCATCACCTTCGGATTCTCCCTTTTCGGGGGCGCCGAGGCGCCTCTGCTACACTCTGGGTTTAGGGTGGAGGGTTGCCACATGACTGGTCCGATCGGGATGCGACCCTACCTAAACCCTAAACCCTTAACCCGAAACCCTAACACATATATGTATATATATATATACATATATATTACATGAGGTCCCTTGTTGGGGTCCCTTCTCTGATACGGCCCACTGTAGTAACCCCAAAAGGGGCCCCAGTTCAGCATAAGTAGGGATGTTCCCCCTTATACTAACAGTCCTTAATAGGGATTGTAATGGTGGTACCCTAAACCCTAAACCCTAAAAACCCTAAACGCTACAAACCACAGACCTACATTAGGCTCTTGGCGCCCTGGGTTGGATTTGCTTGCCTGGGCGAGGAGATCAAGGATGAGCTGGAGAAGCTTTACAAGCAGATCATGAAGAATGTGCGGGTGCTCCTCGATGCGCAGCAGGTGAAGAACGCCATAGAGACTTGGCACCCAAAAAACCCTAAACCCTATACCCTAAACCCTAAACCCTTTTTTTGGTTCAAGGTTCCCTGATAAAGTAACCAAGACAAAAAAAATAAGTACCCTTTGGGATGCTCCCCCTTATCCTAGCAGTCCGGAATCGGGATTATGCTCCCCCTACGAAAACCCCTATTAAGGACTGCTAGTACAAGGGGCGTGGTAGCCCAGTGGTGCCCTTCACCCTTCATTTTCCACCTTCTAAAATCGCCAACCCCCAACAGGGGTGCCCTTACATGGCTACTGGCCTACCAAGGGGTGAACATCCCAAGGTCCCCTTATTATTAGATGGTTCCGTAACTACCCTAAACCCTAAATCCCTGTGTGACGGCCCATGAAACTACCCTTAAAGCTTAGGGGGTTTGCAGAGTAGGGAATGGGGGAAGGGGCGACCAAGGAGGGCACCGGAGCCGCAGTGGGGAGCTTGATGGATGCCCTGTATGGCCTGCCACCGCAAATGATGGATGGCCTCAACAAGGACATGGATGAAGCGGCCAAGTATGAACACTACACCAACAACCTCAAACCGGTGCGACTCGCATTTGAGACTTCGTTCCCGGCAGTGTTTGGCTCGCTTGTGCAATGTGTTGAGGATGATGGTCTCACTCCAGTGACAAACCCTGGCAACGAGTGCCAGCAGTATTGGGGTCATGGCGCGTTCATCTATCAGCTTCAATTCGTGCTGATGTACCTGAACCTCATCGCCCGGACAGCAGTCGTCTCGACAGATCCTCAGGTTTGGCTCGCCACGCTCCATTCGAAGCTCCAGGTCTTCAGCCCACTGTTGCAGATCCTTGGTAGCCCAGTGGTGCCCTTTACCCTTTTTTCTTTTTGTTTATGGATTCCCGTATAAAATACCCAACCCAAAAAAGGGTGCCCTTATCAGAATATGGTTACTGGGCTACTAAGGAGCTCATACGACGGACTGAAATTCAGCCTCATGCGAGTTGAACAGTGTCAGTGGACTTTTCCGAGCTGCTGGCCGGCGAGTGCTAGAGGGGTTGATGACTGCGTGTTTTCGAATGTGTTTGATGGCGAATCTAATGATGAGTGGATGATGAATGCAGACGTGGCTGGCCTTCTGACAGGTGTTCATGTCGTAATTAAATGAACGAAGAGGTGCGGAAGAACGGATAGAATAAGGCAAGACTTGTCCCCACTTTGCTACTATTTGCTTAAGAACCCCAAAAAAATAACAAATAACAATCCCGTCCCTTAATTACCCTTATAAGGAAGAGTCTTTTTCATTTTTGCGGGCTTCTTAAGAAATGGTAGTTTGAGGTACTGAAGTGGGGAGGGGCCTCGCCCCATTCTAGCTGCGCATCATGCCTCTCCCAGTCCGGTCATCAAAGTTTCCCCAGGGCCTCCGCAAAGAGGGTGCGGTTTAGGGTTTAGGGTTCAGGGTTCAGGGTTTAGGGTTTAGGGGGGTGAGCTGGCATCCAAGCGCAAGCACTAAATCAGGGTATCCGCGAAACCACACCCCACATTTCCAACCAAAACTTCTGCATGCAGCCCTTTGAAACCATCCCAAAATTTCCCTAAACCCTACACCCTAAACCCTGAATCCCAAACCCTAAACCCTAAACCCTTGGCTGGCTCTGGCTTTGGCTCGCTGTGAGTTGTGGTTCGGGGGGCCATTGCTGGGCATGTCTTCACACTACTGAGGCGCACCTATACCTTAATTCAACCCCAACTCCGAAGCACTCTACCAGAACCGTTGCCAACCCTATACCCCTAAACCCTAAACCCTAAACCCTAAACCCTAAACACTCTACCAGAACCGTTGCCAAGAGCTGATCTGATCTACCTTTGCCGAGGGCTTCTGCTTCAAGAGGTGCCAGAGTCCGGCTTGGATAGCTGGCGGAGAAGAGGCCGCTTTATGGTTCAGGGTTGAGGGGTTTAACCCCTAGACCCTAAACCCTTTAGGATGTAGGGTTTCCCCCCCCCCCCCACCCCCCCCTGAGGCCAGCTGCATCACTGGTTGCAGGTACATCGTCCCGAATGATTGGCCGAATTGTTTTGACTCATCAGTCCGACATCTTAGCTGCCTGCTTTTGGTTATGGGTTCCCTTATAAAGTACCCTAAACCCTAAACCCTAGACCCTCAACCCCTATCCCTAAACCCTAAACCCTAAACCATGGTTACTGGGCTACTAAGGCTGTGAGCAAGCCTCGGAAAGTGTCGGGCTCGCTGGCGGCACGTGGGCAACGTGTACCACGAGCGACTTCGAGCTCGCAAGCCAGGTGCGGGTCGGCGATCTCACCACGAAGTTCGGCCCAATTCTTAAACAGTTCCAGAATCTTGCATCCACGGACCAGTATTCCCAGATTCTGGCATATGTTCAAAGCAACCCACAGCCGCCAATGCCGTCCACACCGAGCCTTGAAGACAGTCACGGCTTCTGCGAAGACTTCTGCGGTTCGATCCTTGTGCCCGTACCGGTTGCGCCAAATACAGGCTTTTTGGGGGAACGACTTTGCCCTTATAAAGAAGAATATACATATATAGATATATATATATATATATATATGTGTGTGTGTGTGCTTATTTATCTATGGATTTATCTAAATATTTTTGGTTCTAGGTCACAGGGACAACCCACCGGTCAAGCGCTTGAAGCCTTGTCAGCTTATCAACCCAAAACCCGTACGGCAAACTCCAGAGTGTTGGAACATGGTTTAAGGATGATTAGAGCTGGGATTCCCTTTAGTATACCTTATGGGGTATGGGGACAAGGGTGTTCCATCGTTTTGGAGTTTACTGGCTGGGAGGAGACATCAAGCTCAACATGCCGGTGAAGAACATCGATCAGGTCGCGCATGCCCTCAGACACTCTATCCCCCTTGGGAGTTTTTTTTTATTTTCATTTACATAAAACCCAAGAGGAACCCTAAACCCTAAACCCTAAACCCTAAACCCTAAACCCTAAACCCTAAACCCTATGTTTATGAAGGTTCTAAGGGGAGTATAGGACAAAGTTGCCGGGATGCCTGCTTGGGTCCGATCGGCGGCGTGAGCACCATCTGCTCTTGCAGAACGACCCTGGGTCTTGGAGTACTATACTTTAATACTTTTTTTGGTTCTGGGTTCCTATTATAGCTACTTATACCTAAAAAGTATATACTTTTTTTCCAGGGTCTACTCCAAAGCTAAGGACCACATGCCCTGCAATTCTCAGCTCTTTCAAGCAAACATACTCACAGCTCGCAACTCGGTAGGCCCTTGGGACATGTATTTTGCTTTCCGTTTTTTTCGGGGGCTTCCTTAAACAGATCACATTCCTGTTTTGTTGTGATTTTTTTGGGGGGTTTAAACAGATCACATTCGGGAATATTTTTCACAGGACTTTGAGCGCCATCTTAGGCAGAACCCACCACCATGCTGGATCCTTTTGGCACTCCGCAAATGCCGACATGGTTTGCGGACCCCCTCGTTGCAACGTGCAACCAGTCGTGCAACGTCATGGGGGTCCCGTCGCCGTCGGCGACGGGCTTGGTTCTTGGAAACTAGCGCTTTGGCAGCGACTGCTGCTAGCACGTGGGCTTCACGAGCGCAATGCTGACGTGAGTCAAGACAACAATTAAGGCATGAATGTTATGGAACCAGCATCTGTGTTTCTCGAGTGCAATGCGCACTTGCATCAGTACAACAGTTGACTGCACATGATGCGCTCGCAAAGGAAAAGGTGCGAACGTGAATGCCGGGCGTGTCTCCTGAGTAGAACATGACTGCAGCTTGCATCGCAGGCGAAAGTCGATCGGAGCCGACTAGTGCCTGAGTTAAACCCTAACCCTAAAGCCTAAACCCTAAACCCTAAACCCTAACCCCTAAACCCGAAACCCTAAACCCCAAACCTTTCCAGAAAAGCTAGATACCACCAGGCTGGGTCTTCCGTGGAAGCCATCATAACTATGAGAGCGGCTGGAGATATTTGTCTAGGGTTTTTGGATTGGGGTCCTAGGGTTTATCAGCGGATTTTGTTTTGAGATAATTTGATTTTGATACTCTGGATTCTGAAGATTGGCAGGTATTTAGCAGGATGTTCTCCAATCACGAAAGCAAGCGTCGCGAGGCTTAGGGTTCAGGGTTTGGGGTTTTAGGCGGGTTCAGGATTTACGGTTTAGGGTTTAGGAGTTTAGGGTTAGAGCCTGTTCTAGCCTCCTGCCCCCAGACCTTGCTCAGGGTCACCGAGCGCGGGGCGCGGCGATTGCTCATCATTGGCCTTGCGCAAGCCTTGGCTTGGGATAGGGCTTGGGGTTTGGGTTTTTAATTAGGGTAGTTTCCTGGGCCCTTCGTATGATCCCTAACCTGCATTTAAGGGTTTTGATGCAAGGGCCCTGATTTCGTTTTGGGCATACAAGGGCTGCCCTCTTCAGGGCCCTTACTATGGGACCCTGTAACTACCCTGAGAGTTTTGGGGTGTGGAGGTTAGGGTGTTAGGTCCAGGGTTTACGGTACAGAGTTTAGAGCTTATAGGAACCCGTGAGGCTCGGAACCCCCCAACCTGCCCCCCTTAGAAGAGCTCCGTACTTCTATTGGGGTTGCCAGGTGGGGCAACCTGCGCTGTGGGCCGGAGTGGATGTCAATCTGGAGGCTTGCTTGATTGTGCACTCCACGGCCTGAGTTCACCGCCCTGCAGGAACCACTTAAAGGCACCAGTCAAAATTGTGCTTCCAAGGCCGGCCCGATCTACACCCTAAACCCTAAGCCCAAAACCCTAAACCCTAAACCCTATACCCTATACCCTATACCCTAAACCCTACTCACAGAACCTCTCCCTAGATCTTATCATTCTTCACTTCTGCATGAGGTCCATAGCCTTATGCTTCATGGATCTACGGGGTGCCTGCCCGAAGAGCTGGATGCCACCGTCAGCTACAAGCGCGGCCACAAGAGCCATTTCCATGTCCTTGTGCTCATCGCTGAGTCGTAGGAAGAGCTTGCGGAGGCGTGCCCTGAACATCCCTGAACAACAGACCTCTACAGCACCAGCGAGTTGCGGGGCCCTTCTTTGGGCACCCATGAGAAGGCGGCACCCTTGAAAAAGGGATCCCCAAGAAGGGACCCTAATTTAGAGAACTACCCGTGTTCATCCGGCTGTCCTTCCTTGTGTCCGGATTGATCTCGTGTCCGGTCAGCATGGAGCTGGCGAGCCCGCTCACACGCTTTGATCGCCCCATGATTCGCCTCAAACCCTAAATCCTAAACGATGCTGCAGAGTAGTCTCAAGTCAGCCGCCTTCCTAAGGCTCAATAAGAGTCACGATCATGAGGAGTTCCCGCTCAAGCTCCGACTTGCTGCTCACCACCACCCTCAACGAACCCCGGAATAATAAAAAGTAATATTCCTTATTGCGGGTAATGTAGGGAATATGAATTTTTCTTTTGGGGGTTCGTAAGCAAGTAAAGGGTTTAGGGTTTAGGGTTTAGGGTTTAGGGTTCAGGGTTTAGGGTTTAGGGTTTAGGGTTTAGGGTTTAGGGTTTAGGGCGATAAGCCATGGCGTTGGAAGTAGTCAAGGCTCGCGTGAGCCGAAACGCCGCAAGTGCGAAGCCAGGTGTGTGCTTGAGCCTCACCCAGCAGATGGAGTGGAGCATCACAAACTGCACACTCACAAGGCAAGCCCTAAACCCTAAACCCTAAACCCTAAACCCTAAAACGGGCATGGACTTGATGCACAGTGGAGCTGCCGGCTTTCCGGCTGCAGTATCCCCGCGCAATGCTATCGTGCAGACGGTCTCGCGCACGCCTGCAGCAGAAGCCAAATTTCCCGGCATGCACAGCACTGGTAGCTGATGGCCAGTGAGCGCCTCTGTGCCTGCGGCGTTTTAGGGTTTAGGGTTTAGGGTTTAGGGTTTAGGGTTTAGGGTTTAGGGTTTAGGGTAGTTTAGGGTTTAGGGTTTAGGGTTTAGGGTTTAGGGTTCTGTGAGCAAGGTACAGCCAATCTGGAGGCTTCCGAAAAGTCACGAAATTGGAGCTGTTAGGGTTTTGGGGGGAACCTTAAACCCTTAACCCTAGCCCGACACCTGAAAACCCGGAACCCTAAACTCTAAACTCTAAACCCTAAGCCCTATAAACCCTAAACCCCAAACCCTAAACCTAAACCCTAAACTTGAACCCTGAACCCTAAACCGTATTCCCAAACCTTAAACCTTGTCAACCTGAAACCCGAACTCAGGTGGCCGAGTTCGTAGCCCTGGCGTTCCTGCCGCTGTCGCAGGCCCGGACGAAACCAGTCCTGAGCGCCCCATACCTTTGTCATAGCGGGGTAACATGTTACCTGTTTAAGGTTACTTAAACATGGAAATGGAATAGAAATTGAAATCTTTTCATACTATCCCAACAATGAACGAACTAGATACCCCTTGACGTTTAGGGCTCAGGGTTTAGAGCTCGGGGTTGAGGGTTTAAAAGGTTTAGGGTTTAGCCTTAGCTAATCCCGAACTCCGACACCATTCAGGACACCATTCAGGACACCATTCAGGACACCATTCAGGACACACAACAATCTTGGATGATAAGAGGTTCCCCGAAAATCCTCCCGTTTCGGGAGCGTGTTATATGGCTGCCGTGCCATGTAGGGGACCCAAACAGGGACCCTAAACCCTAAACCCTAAACCCTAAGCCCTGGTTTTGGAGAACTTCCTGTATGACTCTGGACTAATTAAAGTCGGCGATATGTGACATTGCTTGGCGTTGGCCACCGGTGGCTCGGCTCGCTGTGAGTAGTCTTTGGGCACTATGCACCTAGCCCTAAACCCTAAACCCTAAACCCTGAACCCTGAACCCTGAACCCTGAACCCTAAACCCTAAACCCTAAACCCTACCTGGAGGTACTCGCGGCCACTACTTAGCGTCCTCTTTGTGAAATCCGGATTTCCCCGTCAAGCGGCCGTAGTTCGGTTTAGAAATAGTTTTTATTCTGGCAGCGAAAGCGGCCTGATTTTTGGCCCACCAGTCGGAAGTGTGTTTCTCCTGCAAGAAACAAACGTACGGAACCCGCACAATGTCAACATTACGTCGACATTGTCCCGTAAGAAACCGTATTTTGATCCGAGCACAAAAGGCGTAAAGCGGCCACTTTTTTTGCGTTGGTGCAGAGGAAATGAAAAAGTAATGGCGCATCCGAGCGGCCGGTTTTTTGCGATGCTGTTCTTTTCTGTCCTCCTGAAGCGGCTGCTTTTGTCTGTCCTCCGGTATCCCCAAGTAAACCCTAAACCCTCAACCCTAAACCCTAAACCCTAAACCCTCCACAAGCTCTGGACCTGGCCTGAGCATTGAGAAGCGTCAGGGGTTAGGATGCGTAGTGCGACTGTCCACACGCAGATCCTCAGTCTTGGTAGCCCAGTGGTACCCTTAAGTTTAGGGTTTAGGGTTTAGGGTTTAGGGTTTAGGGTTTAGGGTAGCCCAGTGGTACCCTTTACCTTTGTTTTTTTTGGTTATGGGTGCCCTTATCAAGTAACCACCGCCCTTATCATAATATGGTTGCTGGGCTATTAAGAAGTTACTTTTGCATTTTGCCAGGAGGGCTTTTGCGCTGGGTCTCGGGCTGATGGCTTCTGCTTTTGTGTGTGTGTTTTTTGCGTTCTGTGTCTTTCTTCTCTCTTATTTTAAAATATGTTTTTCTTGGGGTATCTTGGGGTGTTCCCCTGATACTCGCAGTCCTTAATAGGGATTACAGTACCCCTTTTGATCATCCCTACTAAGGATAAAGCCTACAACTGGGCTTGCAAACTTGTCTGCACTCGCAGGCAGGCTGAAACGGCAGATATCCACGTAACCGGGACGCCGTGCATTGACTGTTAGTATAAGGGGGAACATCCCCAATTTTTAGGTTTTAAATGTTTTCTAAAATGCAACCTTTCGACGGCAGGCATGCCCCATGAATGCGTCCTGCCTCGTCTTCCTTTACTTCTGGAAGGCAACCTCTCTGGGGGTATACCCTAAGCACTAAACCCTACACTCCTCAACCGTAAGCCCTGAACTCCTCCACCATAAACCCGAACCTCCTGAACCCTAAATCCAAAACTCCTCAACCCTAAACCCTGAACTCCTCAACCCTAAACCCTAAGCTCCTCAGCCCTAAACCCTAAACTCCTCAACCCTAAACCCTAAACTCCTCAACCCTAAACCCTAAACTCCTCAACCCTAAGCCCTAAACTCCTCAACCCTAAAGGCTAGACCCTAAACTCCTCAACCTTATATAAACCCCGAAGTGCTAAAGCCGCAGCCAGCATAGAGGGTTCCCGCACCTCCTGAAACGCTGTTTATCTACTTTGAATGTTCATGGGTTTATGGTTTGGGGTCGCGGAGGGGGTTTAGGGCTAGGGGTTCACGTGTAGCACCCCGGAAACGAAGCGAGGCACTTTATGTAACTAGCCACGAACCTCTAAGTGCCACTCTAGACCCAAAACCCCAACCCTAAACCCGCAACCCAACTCGAAACCCTCAGCCCCTCAACCCTAAATTCTGTAGGACACCTTCGTTTTCCCCTCGGGAGCTTTGAGCCTAAA